GAGCCGCGGGAGGGGCGCGGGACCTGCTGTCCCCTCCCGGAGACCGCGTCCGCAGTCGTCTCCCCGGCTTTGCTTTTCCCCCCCTTTTTTTCCCCCTTTTTAAGAGGATCCTCAGTCACCACCTCGCCTGCCCAGCAGCACCACCGCGCACCGCTCCTAACGGGGTTTGCTTTGTTTTTACGATTTCCCCCAACGAATCACTTGTCAGATCAATTTTATCTTCCCCCTCCTCCCTGCTTCCCACTCTCCCCTCCTCCCCAGCGAAAACCCCGTGCTCGGAGGTTAGACATCCGAACAGACCGTAAATGTTGTTTTTCGAATTGTGATTTTTTTTTCTGTTTCCCTCTTTTTTTTTTTTTTGAAACCCCCCTCTCCCATGGCTACCCTCCTGGACGTTGCTTTCTGCCCTTCCCCCGCTTAGGGGGCGGGGTAGGGGAAGAGAAAATAATACAATTTCAGGGGAAGTCGCCTTCAGGTCTGCTTTTTTTTTTTTTTTTAATTAAAAAAAAGGGGGGGGGACATAGAAAACATCAGTCTTGAACTTCTCTTCAAGAACGCGGGCTGCAAAGGAAATCTCCTTTGTTTTTGTTATTTATACGCTGTCAAGTTTTGAAGTGGTGAGTTTCAGGTCGGTTTTGCTAATTTCACTCCGTAAAACTGCAGTGTTTCTGTTTCTAGATAGTACTTTGCTTCTTTGTCTCTTTAAAAGGTCACAGTGAAAGCTTGGCCTGGATCGTGCCGGCCATATGGAATGGATAAGGGCACCAGCTCTTAAAACGTGATTATGGGGTTCTGTGGGGGCGAGGGAGCCACCCAGCAAGGAACTCACTGAACAGGATCCCACACTGCCAAAAGAAAAATAGGCTTTCGAAGCCGGAATTTCGTGCTTTTCTTGCCTTTTAGAGGAAATACTGATCATTGTGACGGAGTTCTCTGTTTTATTCAGTCACGATCATGGATGGTCTTAGTTTTTGTGCAGGGAAATGGGATTTTACGCAACTAGCCTGCTTCCCGTGTGCCAAGCCAGACAGGACACTAAAATGGTTTTAAAACGTGTCACTCCAAAGAAACTCTTCAGCCTGACATCTGGTGAGACCATAGTCAGTTCCAGCTGCTGTCAGACCACGCAGGCCTGGTGGAGGTTGCTCTTTTCAATTCCGAACTGAGGTTCGGGGAACTTTAGCCTTGGGCTTAGAGTTTAAAGGAGTAAATTGGGTGTTTTATGTGCATGTAATTTTGCTTTCTAATGTGAAGCTTTTTACAGGATGACTTAGTGTTTAATAGACACTTATAGGTGGGTATTCAAAGGACAATTTTGCATGACCTATTTGATGTTTTGATTGTCAATACATTAAATTATAACCTATCGCTTTCATTTGCCCTACAGCTTACAGTGCTGTTAAGCTTCATGATTACTTAATATGTTTTGTAGCATTAACTTTGATGCTGTTGCCTACCTCATCCTTCTGCTGTTCTTAAATGGCCCCAAGGGTTAAGAATTTCCTTTTTAAATCATATGTTTTAAAAATTCGTCTTCTGTTCTAGGGTGAGGCCACCAATTTCAGAGAAGGCAGCTCTGTATTATAATTCACATGGAAACCTTATAAAGAGTGTTTTGAATAAGTTAATAATCACCACTCTCTAATTTTGGCTTTAGATCGAAGTTTAATATAATGGAAAAGAGTAATCTTGATAGAAGTGGTTTAAAAAGGCACATTTATTGTTAACGAACCTCATAACCAAAAACAGATGGGGCCTCGATCAACAGTAAACCATCAGTTCTCAGCTTGCCACCCTGCTGTACAAAGATAAATAGCCATTATCATCTCTCAAACTTTCAGCTTTCACTGCCATGCTTAAGGTTGCTTCTAAACCTCTAGCATTTCTTACCCCCTTCCCTTTTGCTTCATTTTGTGGGATGAAGTCCTCTGTGGTTAAGCAGGGAAAAAAATGTTTACAGGACAGCCATGCTAATCCAAATGGACTTGCAACAAGACTACATAGTTTGGTATAGTAAGTTTTTTTTTTTTTTAAAAAGGTACAAGAGGCATGCAGTTACTAGAGAAGTGGTCATATATTCGGTGTGGTTATCCTGAATGTGGTTCTCTCAGTATTGGCAAGCTCAGGACTTTAAGTACCATGAAAGTTCATAGAATGATTCTCCTCACTTGTTTTTACCAGTTTTAGTTAAAACAGTGTTTTTGAAGTGACTTTGATATTGTACAGATGATTATAAAGAGTATGAAATTGATGTCTAGTACATACTGTAACTGAAAATAATGATCTGTTCATTTTTTTCTGAAGTTATTGCATTAGTGAGATTATTTTTGAATACTGGAGATGGTGTTTTACCAATAGCATCAAGTTTTGTGTGTGTGTGTTTTTTTTTAATGAGCTTGGCACTTCAACTTCATGTGTATATCACAAAATATTTTCAAGGTTTTTGCAGTTTAAATTGCACACAGCATTCTGTTACTAGTGGACAACTAATTAGCCCTAAAACACACGAGTTATGATGCTTCAGTGCCTAGGCTATCTGACCAAAAACATTCCACGCCTTTCTGTTTACTTAGGGCAAAATAACCCAATCACACATTTGACCTGACACTTGACTAGCTCTTTAATAGGTCCTATAACTCTTGAAACTTTGATAGTTAAAAACTTACTGTGCATTAACTTGTAAAGCCACTGGGCAGTTTAGAAAGCAGGTAGACGTTTTGCTACCTTTATTTGAGATGGTATATATTTTTTCCATAAACATTAAAATATATGTAGAAATGTGTACCTACACGTTATATTTAACTTGTATTTTGAACTGTAATAGTCTTTCTATCTGTTGTGAAAGTTCCTATTCCACAAGTTTCTCATTTTAAAACACTGGGACTCCATATATGCAATTTGTTATTTTCTTTTACTTGGGGTAATTCTTGTTCCCAAAGTGAGCCCATCCCCTCCCATTTAGTTTTGTTTATAGATGATAAATTACCTTTTTATTCATGTGTGTGGGTACAGTTTTCACAAATGATTCCGTTCATTTGAATGGAAATGTAGTGCCGTTATCTGTTATAGAAATATGGTAACATCTGTAGGGTACGTAGGTAAGCAGTTTTATAACTACACTGTCTTTGTGGAGACAGAACGAGAGGTAAAATATTTACATGGGACACGTTTGTAGATACAGCCACCCACCCCCTCGCCCCCATCCAATCATAACATTTCTTCTTTTTAAATTCTGGCAGGTGATCTTTAGACAGTGATTGAGTATGGATCATTTGAACGAGGCAACTCAGGGGAAAGAACATTCAGAAATGTCTAACAATGTGAGTGATCCGAAGGGTCCACCATCCAAGATTGCCCGCCTGGAGCAGAACGGGAGCCCGCTAGGAAGAGGAAGACTTGGCAGTACAGGTGCAAAAATGCAGGGAGTGCCTTTAAAACACTCGGGCCATCTGATGAAAACCAACCTTAGGAAAGGTAAATACTTTGGCTCCAAATCCTGGAAAGCTGCAAACCCTGGTTTCTTCCCCAAGGCCACAACGCTGCGTGGGGCTGACTGGCAGAATGAGCTTTGTCTGTTCTTTTCCTTGATTCCCTCTCTGATCTGGAAATAGTTACATCCCAGGTTGTCATGTCAATCACTTTCTGAGATGGCAGGCTGTGTGCTTGGGTGGAGCATCGTACTCTGCCAGAGACTAGACTCATTGGACTTTTGGGATGATAAGAACTGAATGAAATCGAGTGGACTGAGTCCACGCAAGGGTCCACTCACTGGGCCTTCCTGTGGTAGAGGTGGTTGCTTACACTAACCCTGATTTAGAACAGGAGGCAGGTTGTTTGCGAACTGCCCTAGCTTTTCCCCAAAGTTTTTAGTTGTGAGGCAGTTTCAGAGATCATAGAAATCGTATGTGAGATATAAGTTTTGTGATGCCTTTTTTTTTTTTTTTTTGGGTGGCTTATTTTCTTAAGAGCAAATTTATTATTAAGCAGTGAAAAACCTGATGATTCCTATTTTTGATTTTTTTTGCTGTCTTGGGGTGGTTTTGATGAAGGAAGGGCAGGTTTTTTGCCAGTTATGCCCGCATGACTCCTGTTTACTCACATGAAGTTGATGAAGTTTAACAACTTTGTGTTCAACCCTTGTTTGGAAAGCAGTGCCTGTGGTGGGTGTAGTGTGTGTGTCTCATAAGGTCTTGTGTGGTTTTTGGGTTTTTTTTCTTTCTTTTTTTTTTTTGTGACATGTATAGGAACCAGATTTTTTTCTTCCATTTGCTAAGCAAAGGATAAAAATACCAGCTCATAGCAGGCAAGAATATTAAGTAGATAAAGTTAGAAGGCAGAGGAATTTCATTGTGTTTGATGGATAACATTTATCATACAATCATTTATTTTTTCCTTGGTTTGGCGAAAACAAAGAATATATTGATCTTGAAATGAACAGACACAGCAGTCCGTATTGTTAGATTTTTATCTATTAAAAATGGAAAAACAGCACTTCAGCAAATTCTTTGGCCTCTACTCATGATTACCCTATTTATTGATTGTTTGCCAAGAATGTATGCATCTTAAGAAAGCCAGGGTAAGAGCATTAAAAATATAATTTATTATGGCTTTTCAAACAGAGTGCATTAATATTACACTGTGAAGCTCTGAGGCTCTATAAAAAAGACTTTCTGACGCCTGCAAACATATAAGTTCCATAAATTCCTAAATAGGAGATTTCAGCTGTCTCTGGTATTATGTGATATTTGCACAGCAAACTTTAATGCCAGGACAGTTTTAGACAAGGATTCTACAGACTTCACTGCTCCTTATGGTAGACGTGCTGTTTACACAGGCTCATAAACCTTCAGCAAAAGCTTCTAAGACTGCCTTCAGGTTTAAATCATGTGCTATTTTTAGCATTCAGCAGTGACCAGTGCTCTCCCCTTTGAAAGCTGGAAGGTTATGAAGTTGCTGCAGTTGGGAAGTCTCACCAAACACCAGCACAAATAATCAGGTGGTTCAGAGAAGGCTGCTGCTCAGCCTCACTCCTCGTCACAGGAGGGCAACCACGACAGTGTGGTAGATTTAACAGCGAGATTCGTAATTCCATATTGCTATTGCTATTGCTGCTTCATCTGGAGCCACCTTGATCCTGTAGCGGTTACCTCTAAAGGGGATCGGTAAAGTCCAGAATAAATCCAGACTCTCTCAATAGTTTGAAAAGCCTGTAGTTATTTCAGAGGTCTCAAGGCAAGCAGCGTAGTTGAACACATGGGCTTCGTGTCTAAGAGGAGAAATCAGTGTGTACAGTCTTGTTTTCCTGAGCCAGTGTTTGAAAACATCCGAGCCGGGGGAGGAGGGACCCGAGTACAGTAATTTCACTTCCTGCTCAAATGCCTTTTAAAATTTTTTCATGTCTTGCATTCATACTGACTTCTTTTAAAAATGCCATTTAATTGCAGAAGGGTCTCTGCTTAGTCCAAACACCAAAATTACTAAGCCTTTTGGTGTTGTGTTGTTGTTTTTGTTTCCCCCCCCCATCTTATTTTCAAGTGCCTGGTTTCTGTTTGACAGGTGCTAGATAAAAATTATGGCTGAGATGAGAAAGCACTACTAAGAAAAAGGGGTTGAATGTTTTTGTTTGTTTAGGAGATTTTGCCAAAATACCTCCAAGCCAAGGAAGAAATCACCAGTTTGCATATTGCTATTTTTGCTGTGGCCTCCCCAAGTCGTCTTCAGATCCCTGACGGGTTCCCTCTCTGGTATAAAACAGCTGAATGAATGACAAGAATATTGGCAAGCTCTGCAGCTTGTTTTTCATGCCTTGCCTGTTGGTACCTCCGAGTGAGTTTGCGAGCTTTTCTAAGTAAACCTAAAGGGGTTTATTTGTCAGAGTGAGAATCTCTTGTGAACAGTTCACTGGAGCTTTTGGTGAGGACTCGCATGTAGAAAAATGTAGCCATTTTATTGCCAGCTTTTGTTCGGCAGAAACAAGCAAGCAGAGAGTTTTTAAAGGGCCGCTCTGGTGTCAGTAGGAAATCCTGATTTTTAGCTGTGCTTGGTATGCGCCAGCCGTCTTCAGAAGTTGGTAGGGTACTTGAGTCCAGAGGACAAGACTGAGAGAGGTATTAGCGTTGCAGGACTAATGGGGGGTCCTGGGTGCCCTGTGAAAGTAACCCTTGCCATCATTTATGCTGAGGGTGATGCCCTCCTGGCAGTCTGCCGCAGAGCAGTTCAGATGCATCTGCTTTTAACCCTTTTCCGTGAGCGTGGGGAGTCTGACACTGCGCTGTGTAAACACCTTGACTACCGCAACGTACTGAGCTTCAGTTTCTAGAAGAAACCTCTCTTCTACAACTGGTGTGGCCTGGGCTTATTCATCTCTGGCTACTGAGTTACTGCGTAGGCTCAAGGGAAACAGAGGCCATGTCAAAGCTCTGCCGATTTCCTTACCCTAAAATGTCCTGAGGAGGCCAGTTTTCCTCTTCTGTCATTTTTATCCTTTTTTGCTACAGCCTTCATTGTTCATTTAAGACTTACGGTTCCTGTTGTATCTTTTTAAGTCAGGTAAATTAAACGAGCAGTCACAAAAATAAATGTTATTTATGTGCATCACGCGCATATTAAAATGAGGTATTAGGAGCATCAGTTCAGTGAAGTTCTGTGTGTGTGTGCGTTTCGTGGAACCAGTTAAAGGAAATACTAAAAAGAAAAGAGGAAAATGATCATTTTAGTCCAAGGTAATTTGTTTGCGCACAAACAGGAAAAGTTTATTATTAACGAAGGCCTGTGGGCAGCGGTCAGGTGGGCTCTTCTGCACGACCATCGTGAGTGGTGTTTGCATACTGCATACCCCCACAGCACGTCAGACAGACGCACCGGGGTCTCTCTCATCAGCATTTTTATTCAATCAAAACAGTAATTCTGCACTTACTGTTTTTTTGGAAAATACCCCGTAACATTAGAGCAGAGCCCACCTTACCTTAGGACCAAGTTCACATGCTGTTTTCATATTTCTCTCGTAACTTAAACACATAAAAGAATGCATATATTTGTGTGTGCGTTGCTGCGTCTCTGCACCCAGTCTGCCTTGGAAACAGTGTCTCCCCCTCTCGCCGTTGTGAAGATTTATTTTTATGGCTTAGTTTTTCCTCCCCCCCACCCCCGAATGTATTTCTGAAGATTGTTCGTTTTCTGTCTCTTTTCCTCCATTTTTTTTTTTCCAATAGGAACCATGCTACCAGTGTTCTGCGTGGTAGAACACTATGAAAATGCCATCGAGTACGATTGTAAGGAGGAGCATGCGGAATTTGTGTTGGTGCGAAAGGACATGCTTTTCAACCAGCTGATAGAGATGGCGTTGCTGTCTCTGGGTTACTCGCATAGCTCTGCTGCCCAGGCCAAAGGTAAACAATGCGTACGTGAGGTTGGAAAGATTGGCGTTCTTTGTTTACCTTGCAGAGAGTGCACTGAGTATTTTCCTTCAAAGAACTGGAACTCGACTGTTACACTGGTTCCTTATAGACTGTGGCTTTAAAAAATTGGCTTAATTCAGTTTGGTTTAGTTAACACACATTTTGCTCATGTGGAATGTCGAGGTAGATTTTTTTTTTAAATTACTTCAGCTGAATCATTAGTATGCTTATTGACCTTAATAATCTGCTCCACTGAGGACCCACAAGGAAGTGAGGAGCGTATTTGAGCAGATGGACTGTTGAGAGTCAATTTGCATTTATGACTGAATATCTAGTTCTGTTTCTTTTATTCTGTTTCTGATGGTTTTATGGGCTGTAAAGTATTTTTCAATGCTGATTCCCACTGCAGTAGAGAATCTTATCTAAATCGTAAAGCCATTTAGAACTGGTTCAGCAATGTCTTATTAGAACTTCTTGTAAGTTCGGAAAATGTGGCCTTATGCATAGGTTTTATTGATGGGGTTTTATTTCCAAAATAATAAACAACCCTACAGTCATTTACATAATTTCACAATTTGGAAAAGCTAAGCTGTGACAATTCTCATTGACCTGCCTTTGAGAGGGAAGGGAATCATTCCATCAGAAATAACAATATTGCTGGTGGGGGGCCGTAGGAAGAAGAAAAATAAAACCTTCTACTCTAGATGTTGTCTGAAGAGTAAACTAGTTAGTGACATATTCTCTTTATCGGAAATAGGGCTAATCCAGGTTGGAAAGTGGAATCCAGTTCCCCTGTCTTACGTGACGGACGCCCCCGATGCGACAGTGGCTGATATGCTTCAAGACGTCTATCACGTGGTCACACTGAAAATTCAGCTGCACAGGTAAGTCAGGACAGCCCTTCCAGGGCAAAACGTGCTTCTTATCCGATCCTGGGAAATAAAGCATATCTGGTCTGCCTTCAGCTCTTGCTTGACAGTACTGAATCCGGACAGGTGCTGTTACCCTCTCCCTTCTGCTTTGTTTTTCCCCTCCCTTCCATCATTTAAAAGCAGCCCCCCGCCAAATTTGTAGGTTTACACAGGTTATCAAAAGATCAGACCTTTCTGCATTTCCTCAATTAAATGATGCATGACAAGAAGGCATTTTACATAAAGTTTACTTAAGAAAAAAATATTTTTGCATATCATGAACAGTGCCATCTGTGTACATCTTGGGAAAGAATGTCTTATTTACTATTGCTGCGATCCTGTTTATTTATATAGATTTATTTTTTTGCCCGTTTCAATTCGTATGAAAAGAGGAATGAAAAGAAAGCGGTGAATACGTTCGTGCTTTTCACGACGGCTCGTGAGCGCAGTGCACCTTAAATTGTCTTCCCAAGCGCATCAGAGCAGGAAGGTAGAAGTAACATGGAAAAATAGCCACCACAGGCAGCTGATGTATAATTCATGCATCGATACAGCAGATGTGTTGTATAAAGTAATTAACTAATCGGAACAATCAGGAGCCCGAGCGCAATCTCCAGATGCATCTGTTTGATGCGCAAAATGAAATCTGTCTGTCTTAAAGGAATGTTCTGCAGCGGGATGCAATCTTGTAATAATCCCCCTTCTAATCTATGTCTCAAATAGTTGCCCCAAACTAGAAGATTTGCCTCCCGAGCAGTGGTCGCACACGACAGTGAGGAACGCACTGAAGGACTTACTGAAGGATATGAATCAGAGTTCGTTGGCCAAGGAGTGCCCCCTCTCACAGGTACTTAGGATAGCGTGGAATACACAGAGGTCCTGGACGGCCCCGCATTCAGGTTCGATGGGGCTTTCTGTCTCTTTAAAGCAACTAGTATCTGAAACAGAATGTGCCAAAAATGCAAAGTGATTTGACCGTTGGTGACCTTTTGAAATATGCCTGATTCATTCTGAACAGAGCCTTACGCTTTTTCTCCCTAGAGGAAAAGAGAGGAAGAGTGTTTCCATGAAAACCTGTGTAGCGGAAGACCATGCTGACTCGATTTTAGGTTTGTCTCCTAAGATCAGGGAGCATGGTAGCTGCCCTCTCCCATGTGTCCTTGAACCAAGAGGGTCAAGGTGCTCCAACTTCATAAAGCTTCAGTGAGTGGGCATGGCAACGTCAGGGTTCCTGTGCAGAAATACCACCATCTGAGTCAAATAAGAGTACGGTTCTTGGATATCTTTTATTATTTTAAATTGAAACAAAGATGGTTAGCCAAAAGAAGACTAGCCATTTCTCCACTAAAGGTTGAATAGTTTTCTCTTGTGAGGATTTAAAGCCAGTTTTGTGACACAGGCTAACTATTTTTTTTTAAGTGGAATATTATTTTTCCTTCTGGGATGCCTGTTTATACCATCAGGGATTTTTAAAATAAGACAGAATTTATGGATATTACTGTCCATAGTTTTTTTAGAATGAATTTTGATGGTGAGCACCAAAAAGTAGACAGACACTGCCCCCATTTCTGAATTTAAAACCAAACCTTACTATTGATAGTGTGCAGCTCATCTGCAATAAAAACAAAGACAAACGATGCTGTGAGCCTGCTGGTGATGGGCTGCCGTGTGGTCACCACCGAGTGTGCTCTAATGTCATCGCTCAGCGGCCAAAAGCATTTTAAGGTCATTCCACGATAGGGTATAATTGAAGTACTGGTTTAACTTGATTTTGATGAAGTTTTGTAAGTTTGCTTTTAATTCAGGTTTAAAGTGTATTTCTGAATATTCGTGTATGAGTCATTTGAACATAAACCGTGTGACTCTGTTGTAGACATTTCTGCAGCTGAGATTCTCAAAGCATACTTCTGTATTATGAGTAGTAGATGTTCTTGAAATGTATTTCTCGCCTGAGGCTCATGAGGTTTGCTCGGTACCTTTGGAAGGATGCTCCTGGGCTTTTGTGCTACTGTGTGATGGGAACTCAGTGGCATTTCAGGTTTGCTACATTACAGTCCAACAGATGTATTTTGATATTTGTTGGCAATTTTAGGAATGAAATAAATGGGTTGTAATTCTAGTGACACTCTATACTGTTCTAAGGTAAGCCATAGCTGCAGGTTCAATACCTCTGTACTGTTCAGTGTCCAGTCCTTACATTTCAGAGCAAACTCTTTTGGTTATTTCAATTGTACCTTTAATGAATCTCCTTCTGTCTTCCCTTGCTTACTTTGGCATAGAGACAATAGGAATTTATAACAATCATATAAAAGTAATTCAGATAGATTAAGCAGAGTTCAACCAGAAGGATGGCATCATGAAACAGACTGACTCCTTCTTCTGGGACGTTGTGTTTTGTAGACAACTGCAGATAACTTCTTAGTTGCTAGCATTTGAAAATTTGAATGGACCTAGAGATAAACTCCTTTTTTAACTCAGTATCAGTACTGTAAATTTTTTAAACTCGGATTCCTATCTCATGTCTTTTCCCATTACTGAAAATCCCGTTGATTTTGGAAGTAAGTTCAAAGACTCAGGGCATTTACTATGAGCTGTGGGAGAGGATGCTAGTACAGAGAGTTGTTGGGACAGCCCATTCAGAACCGATTGTTGGATGATATCAACGTTCAACCAGTAAACTCTGCCTCGCTGGAGCTTATGAATATAATTCGGAATTTACTTAATATTATCATCGAAAATGAATTGAGTCCAGATAATTACAACATTAGACAGAATGAGAAAAATGGAATGCAGGACTTGGTTTAGAGCCGTGAGTTGGTGAATTTCTGTAGAGAGGGCTTCAGAAAAACCCATTCCTTCATGTGCATGGGTACCCCAGTATCTTACTGCAGTGTTAAAACTAGGCTGTAATTTCCCCATCAGTTCTAATTACAATCTTACTGTTTGAAAGAAAGTCTCTTGAAAAAAAATTACCCATAGTTTAGCAGTGGCAGTAAATATTTGAAATTAATTAATATTTAATGTCATGAAAAAAGTGTAACTTGTCCTCTCAATGAGGGAGGGAGTTGTATTTTGCTGCATCATCTCTTTTCTCTAGAATGGATGCGTGCATCTGATACTCAGAATCTTTTCATGAGAAACGATTCTCCGTTTGTTACCGTTTTTTCATTCTAAATTATTAGAGATGAGAGATGCATGTTCCCTAAGGCCTGCGTCCAGAATATATGCTGCGTTTGACAGAACACCTCTGTCTTTCTCTTGTGGCTGAGGTTTGGTGATGAAGATGTGATGGTGAAAAATGCCCAGCAAGGAAATAACTTACAAAATGGGGGTCTGGTGCCAAGAAATGCTAAGAGTTGAGGCTGGACTTCCATGTAGAGTTTTGATTCATTCATGCAAGAACTTTTAGCATACACTTCAACATACACGTTTTACTGCACACTGAGGATTTGGCCCTGTTTACCGTGATAAAGTACTCCAGTACTGGATATGCGTCTTACATGTGCTTAGCGGGGGGCCCACATTGGGAGTCCACACTAGACTCCATAGAGACGAGGAGGGAGTGGGAGCCGGAAGCCACTAGGAATTTTCCTCCAACCCTCTTAGGAGGGTTGTCTAACACTTGCTAAGCAAGTGTCTAGTTGGACTTGAGTTCTTAGAACTAAGAAGGGATTATCCTTCGTAGGCTCCTCTAACAGGAAGGAGCCAGTGTCGCTACAGAAGAAAGTCAAGATGCAGGTTAATGGACCCTAAAGTCCTGCTTTGCTAAGCTTATGTCCTTGGCCAATGATAAATTTTGAAGTAGGTGTTGATTTTAAAACGAATGCTTACATTTTGGTACAATAATGTTTTCTTTTATAATATTGGCAAGGTTTTCTCCAGCTGCAGAGATTCCATAAGTGGGCATGTGGTTTGATTTACAACTCGTACCTTCATTTCTGTTGCTGTTTGGCTATCATAAATCTGCCCAAATAGATGGCCGCACATTTATGAAGTTCTTTGTACCACGTGCTTGTTTATTTTTGTAAAACATTCTAAGACATAAGAAACACTTAGCTCATTATAGATCTGAGGTTGGGCATTTTGTTGCATTTTTGCTTTTTTCAGTGGATGTGGTTAGATAGCTGGATTCTGAACAGCAGCTAAGGAGAAAATCGAACCTGACCAGGGGCACCAGAAAACCAGTAGTCATGAACTTCTGGGAGTATGAATTTGAGACATAGATTGTGTGTTAAAAAAGTAAATTCTTTGATTTACAATAAAACATGAAATCTCGATGCTAGGTTTCCCTGGAGTTTTAGAAATTAAACTTAAACACTGGATGAATAATCTGTGTGATGCAGGGATGGGTGCATTTTGTTAAGTCCTGTGGGTAAAAGGGCAGCCATTTTTACCAACCTGATGTCTTCCTTCTTAAACATGTTAGGTCAGATGTTCTTTAGAGGTTTTATCTGAGATGGATCAATGTATATTTTCTTTCCCTCCTCTTCTCTATACTTGCATGTGTGCTCACGTGCACGCACGCACGCACACACACACACACACACACACACACACACAGAGCTTTGACATCTTTAAGCCACTGGATTGTTCCTTCACCCCACCAGAAAGGTATCTCCAAGCCGACTCCCGTATAAAGTGAGCATTGTCCCTTTTACTTCCAGGTAGCAAAATACGTATAACATTTCAATTTGAGCATTTCATTTAGAAATCACCTTGAGAAAGGTGATTTTTTAATATTCATTTTTCCGATAGCATCTGAGGATCGAATGTATACTGGACTTCGTATTAGTTACTGACATAACAGGTTAAGAGAAGAGAAGAAAAAGAACTGCCCTGCCCTCCTGAAGCTTAGCGTTTAGCCATGTTGGTTCTCTGAAGCTTGGCAATCATTTCCATAGGTATTTAATAAACTTAGGTGTTGAGTTAATTTTCGGGCTGTATTATAAATATCTCACTAGAGCAACAATTTAAATATTTATTATATAATAAAAATGTTTCAAACAAATTGGACTTCATTTTTCTCATAACTCTTTATTGAAAAGCCACGTTTCTTAATGTTTTAGCAAGTGTGTAGTAATTATTCAGGAAAACCCAGTAGCAGTATTTATAAATTGTCTTTCATAGAAGTCTAACCTATGAAACCTGTTCACATACTCATATATCATATTTATTCCCTCAAAAGTCTGTATTGACAGTTTCCTGTGTACTAGGCAACCTGTTTCGGGTAGTAACAAGGCTAACGCATCTTCAACGGTAAGATAACGGGACTGGCAGATGGCATAATGGTTATATTGCTGGACTTCCATGTAGTCAACCGCAGTTAGAGTCCTGGACCTGGAGGCTGAACTCTCATGCTGGGTGTGTATGTGCGTGCATGCCCAAAATCCTAAGAGGAGAATGAAAGAGAAGGGATTGCGGTGTGGCCATTCCTCCCCCCACCCGACACTGCCCCGGGACAGGGAGGGGGGAGGTTAATTTCTCGCTTTCTGTCTCTCTGTCTCTCTCAGTCTCAGTCTCTCTGGCAAGTGTACACACCCTATAGTAAAAACAAAACAAAACAAAACAAAAACAAAAACAACTCAAAAAAGAGATGATAAAAGAATAGTTCACATTCGTGTATTGTTTGTGGTCCATGCCTACAGAGCTGGTAAGGGAGCAAGGTAATACTTCATGCCCAGAGCCTGCAAGTCTGAACAAGGACCCTTCTTGGTCACATGAACAGATTGAGAAAGTCTAGAAAAAATAAAAAGAGCCTTTCTTTCTGAGATTAATTCCGAGTGTTTCACGGTGTACTCTGATTTCTCTGAAGAACTGATAACTACTTGAGTTTTCCAGTTCTTGTTT